GATAGATAGATAGATAGATAGATAGATAGATAGATAGATAGATAGATAGATAGATAGATAAACTTTTTTCCTTTTGAAACAAGAAAGACTCCTTTCTGACTTTGCTCATTTTGTTCTTTCAAGTATGTCTTATCACTGTAGTTTCAGATTTATAAATTCCTTGGCATTGTCTCCTGAAGCACTGAAAATTTTATCTCTGTCCTTGTACTTAATTAATAAATGTGGTCCTTTTAGCTGTCTTTTTATTTAATATTAAGAATGCAAAAATACTATTTTATAGAACTAATCTGTGAAAGTTAGTGCTTCTTATGTTTACTTAATATCACCATGTGTACTTTTCATTTTTTTAAAGTTCTTAATGGATATTTGGGACCTCGAGAATTGGGTGGCAGAGAAGCTTCCTCTGGTCACCAACAAAGATTGTGGTAATGATGAAGCCGCAACTCTTAACCATATAGCAAAACATAAGGTAACTTATATATATATATAAACAGACTACAAACTGTGTAGGATTACTGAGATGTTGAATAGTTACAGGCATATACATACATACATACATACATACATACATATAGGCTAATTTTAAAATATTGATTCTTAATTGATATGACAAATTCATATTGTCTATGAACTATGTTGTGTTCTGACAGTAATATTAACTCTACATGGACTACTTTTTAAAATGAGAATTGGTCCACACACACCCACATCCCCATTAATTTTCTTGCCCTAAGAGAAATCATGCTGTAAGGGCCCTCTAAAAGTTCTGTTGATAAACCAGTCAACATTATCAATGCACACTGGGCTTCTGATGGTCTCTGAGCCTGTTTCTGTTCCTGCAGATGTTTCGTTTCCAAATTAAGAAATATCACCAATGCATGGGATCTAGGAGAACAAGCTAAATCCAAAGTGAAAGAAAATTCCTGGGGACATGGCATTCTGATGAGTCAGCCATTAACAGATAAAAATATTAAGATAAGATCAGTCTATAAGCCACTCAAGAAAGGAAGCAATCAAAGATCAAGCACTCACATACCTATTAACCAATACTAGATCATTGAGAACCAGCACCAGTTAAACAAGGATGAGCAAAGAAGAAACAATATCCCTCCCAAAATCATTTAAGAAGAAATAATACCCCAATCAAGGTTGGTAGGAGAAGTTACCATGCTATATATAAACAGTCAGAAAATTATATTCCTCCATGCACTGATGATGTTATTTAACCTACTAGGGAAACTTCTGCAAGAAAAGTAGCAAGCTTAGAGAACACCAAGAACTCAACAATTCAGCCTTGAATATCTTCCACCATGGACTACCCAGCACCTTGTTCAAAGTTCAAAGAAATAATATATTTCATCATATTCAAGTTTATTTCATCTTCATGGGTCTGTCTAGTTTTTCACATCGATTTGAAAAACATCATCACATCATCTGTTTTTAATTGCTATGAACAGTAGCAATATGTCAAAAGACGAGGGAAGTAGACAATAATAATACTCATCTAATGATGAATAATTTCCACACAAACTCTACAACAGGAGTGTCAAAGTCACATCATCACGGCATCGTCACATGACATATCTCAATCTTTTTATCCTTTGCTAAACTGGGTATGGGTGTGACCAGCAGTGATTCATCTGGCCTGTGGGCCTCAAGTTTGACAGCCCTGCTCTACAAGGCTGTAGCCAGGTTTTTGCCCTCTTAAGTATGCTCCAACCTATTATTTATAGTTCTATACAGTCCTGAAATAAACCTAGTATGGTATTTCAGTTTCAATGTGGAAAAATATTGCTGAATGCCCAAACAACTGCGAACCAACAACTAAAGAGTGCTTAATAAAGTTGCTTCATTGAAACTGGGATCAGAGTATTTTCTCACAGATGATAAATTTTGCAAGAAAACAAGCACTTTTATCAAGTTGGTTAGAGGCATCACCCTCATATGTATCTTATTAGGATCAAATAACAATTCTCAAACAGTAATTGGTTGATTTTGAAAAGCGACTTCTTTGTCTTTAACCACGTACAGAGCTATCATAAAGTTGCTCCTTTCTTAGGAAATCCTTTGTAAACAACTTGCTTCTACTGCCATATAGTTTATGCTTCTTATTAGTAATTCCCTGTCAGTACATTATTTATGTATATCTGTTTTTACAATGGCTTCTAACAAACTTTGCATTTGGAAGACTCATGTAAATGGCTTCTAGCTTGCTTTATATGTGTTGAATATGGCTTCAGTTAAATTGGACATTGTCTGCTAATTTGGGGTTCCTGAATCATCTTTGTACATCAAGTAAAACTGGACTACTTTTTGTCAGTGTTGAATGTTCTACATTTTTTCTTTAACTGGTACTTATTTTGGGTCAGGTTCTAGAGCATGAAATTGGCATTTATCAGAACTTAGTTGTGGAACTAGAAGAAACTGCCAAAACTCTACCACTTTCAGACTCTATCCATTACGATGAAGTTGATATGCCTCAAAGACAGGTCCACACAAAGCTTCAAGAACTACAAACATTGGCCAAAGCAAGGTAGGGGAGGAAAAAAGACTGTGTGATCCAATTATATATTTTCTTGTTAGCTTTCTTTTCTTTTTTGTCACCTTTTTCCCTTTTCTTTTCATTGGGAAGTGAATTTCAATCATACAATGTGAAAATCATGGGAGTCTTCTGATTTTTTGTGCGTGTTGGTTTTATATTGCCTTGCCAGAGAGCTCAATCCTAATAATTCAGTAGGAGATAATCATACATCATGTCTGCAGAGGCAAAAAAAATGCATATGAGTCTATGTAGTCATGAAGGAAAGTTGCAGCATGTGTTGGTTTCTACATAATCATATGTTATGCTTTATATACAACAAGGTGAAAGTATTTGTCCTCTTCGTGGAAATTATCCTGGCTAAAAAAAATAGGCAGTTCATAAGAAGACAGGGAAGCAGGAACATGCTGCTTAGACACAAGGTTATGTCACCTATGCACCATCCATCCATATCCAGATGAACTACTTTTTTTGGCTGTTTTCAGAGGAGTATTTATTGTTAAACTGATCCTACCTCTTCACTCATATATAATGAAGCCACAATTTTTGCTAATATTATTTTTATTGGTGTCAGAGTCACATCTACAAGAAGGGCAGTCTTATACATTGATTAAATAAATAAATAAAAGTGTAACCCATGTAGAATCCACCCATATTTTTAGAGCATTCTTCCTATCTTTTTTCCCCTTAATGGTAGAAATCTGGCTATTTTTAAGGAGGAAAGATGAAGAAGGCAAAGTACACTAACATAGATGTCCTTAGCCTAATGCTGCATAAGGGTCTTCTATCCATATCCTATCAGTTATAATCATTGGCCTTAAGCTTCAAAATGATACTGGTTGTGTAATTTTTACACAGTGATTGTATCAAAACTCCTTAGCTTTCTGTTGCCTTTGTTCTGTCTATTTTATCTTCAAATTAGGGGTAAACGGTTGGAGGAGACACTTGAACTACATGACTTTCTGAGAGAATATGAAGATCTTGAGGGCTGGATCAATGAGAAGAAGCAGGTGGCCAGTTCTGAAGACTATGGAGCTGATTATGACCATGTCCTTGTAAGTTATAATGCTAATAGTTAAACAGATTTGCAGAATATATTGCAATGGTATAAAATATATAACATGACTGTTCAGGAAGACTGGCTTCATACATGATTTTTGCAAGAGTGACTTCATACATGTAAAATAGAACAAAAGAACATGTTCTTTGGGGTTGGAATAATCTACCAAGCTGTTGAGTTAAGGTGTTGGTGAAACTGATTACTTTCAACTGAGAATAGCCTCTGGCCAACCTCTGGGCTCAGAAGGTAAGTTGTTTAAGTTTAGCTAATACTTGGGTAGGATACCTGGAAACATCAGGGCCATAGACTGGACTGAGAAGTTGAAATAGCATCTCAGAAGAAGACAAAGGTAAACTATTTCTGTATTGCTGTCAAGGATACTATGTGAATGTATCTATAAAGTCACCAGAATTTGATTCATCTTTTTAGGCATTTTAATGCATTGACTAATAATTATTTTAGAGAACTTTTGCAGACAAGAAATATTTATGAAATTTAGATATGTGAATAAAGAGTAATCTATTCATGATTACTCATTGTAAAAAAATTAATAAGATGTCAACAGAATAATGATGAAAATATTATTTTTCTGATCAAGAAGATTGCACAATAAATCAAAAGAATGATCCTATTTGAAATAAACATAGATATGATTATCAGTTGGAGTAGTAACTGATCACCCTTGGATTAGATGCTAAAGTTTGAAGTCAAATAAATAATCCCTTCCCCCTCCAAAGCATTGTTCATATGATACATGATCTCATTGAGGTCACTATTTTTTTTTTTGCTTTCCTTTTTTGTTTTTACTTGAGATGGTTTTAAAAAATAGATTTTGCATGATTAGATTTCATTTATAATTAGCATCACAGAATCGGAAGATATTTTCCAGTAATTCAAGCTACTGCTCAAGCAAAAGTATTGTACTACTAGATTATAAGTTAGTTGACAGAATTCAAAACCAATGCCAAAAAAAATCCTATTGTCCTAAAATGGGATAAAAAAAACAAGCACACCAATCTAATAAATGCTTAACCAATCTTCTAATGTCCTAAAATCTTATTTGGTTTCTGTTGGAGACTTTGGCATTTTGACAGAATCATGTGCAGATAAGCGGTTGAGTAAAATTTTAGCTCTTATGAAATAAAGTCAATGCCATGAATAGACTCCCTGTGTAATATTTATTATTGTTTGAGCAGACATAAAACTGCAAGAAAGATGTAAATCTTTTCAAATTGCTCTAGGATTATCCTTCTAAAACAAAATATGGAAGAAGATATTTGGAATTTCAGATTTTAGTAGACACAGTACTTTGAAATAAATTCATACTGAGATCACACAGGAAAAATCAGATGGGCTAACTTGGAAAATTCAAAACTATTCATCATTTCAATTTTTTCTTCTATTCATTTTCTTCAAAAGCTTCTTTGTGTCAAATATGAAAAATCTCAGCATCAGATGGAAATTGCTGCCCAGAGAGTTGCTGCATGTCATCAGTTAGCACAGAAAATGTTGGATTATGGCCATGTTGAATCCAGGGAGATTCGGAAGAAGCAGAAACAGTTGAGGTAAGAAAGCATTCTTGTCTTTTTTCCATTAATTTTTCAGTCTGGTCTTTTCTTTCACAAGACAAGGATCAGGAAGCTGTAAAAGAGCCATATGGGGGGAAAAACCTTCCATGAAGAACATTTGGGTGGCCTGTCTACTTTGCTGCAAGACCTAAGATCTTTCTTGAACTATTCAGAATTTTCACTCGCCATCCTCAGGCTGGTGCTTTCGGCTTCGTGCCAGTGCAAGCAGAAGCCAAAAGCACCAGCCTGAGGATGGCGAGTGGGACCTCGCCGAAACGTTGCCAAGATACTCTTAATCTTACATGGGAAAAAGACCCGAACACTTTTATTAGTTTACAGTATAGTATTATTGGTTTGTTTATATAATTTATCAGTATGAAAACCTCTCAGAGATAGATAGATAGATAGATAGATAGATAGATAGATAGATAGATAGA